AAAGCATACAGAAAATACAAGAACCAGAGAACAAGACAGAAGCGGGGAGGAAAACAACAGATAGAGACAAAAAGGAAAGAAGAGGGGGAGAAAGGGAGGCTCCTCAGGCCCCAGTGGCTCAAATAATGCAAATAGTGGATTCTGTAACTACACCAGAGACAGTGCCATTGGTTGTGGACCCACAGAGGAGCAACCAGATAAATTATAAGGCTAGAAATGATGCAGTGTCCATATACAAAATCCATGGGGTCCACAGGGCTGCACATTGAGGCTGACGATCGTGAAGATGAGCCATAAGCTCTTCAAAGCGTATGATCAGGGACAGTTCAGCAATCCAATCGGGCACGGTCGGGGGACCACAGTGTTCCAGTGGTGGGGGATAATCGTTCAGGCAGCAGTCAAAAATAAACAAAGTAGGTCTTTCTTGACCAAAGCAAGGGAGCCAGCCATATATGTTTTTAAAGGTCATTCTATTATTCAATACGGCAGTCAATTTATTGTTAAACATCATCCTTGTTACTCTAGATATAACATCCTGAGAGAAAGTTGCTGTGAGAATGTGTATCATCAGTTTTAACTGATACTAAAATATCTTCTAGTACACTCCATATGCCATGCTGCATGTTCCCTAGTCCACACTGCCTCATTCCACATGCTATGCTGTATGTTCCCTAGTCCACACTGCCTCATTCCACATGCCATGCTGTATGCTCCGCTCCCTATTCTACAACACCTCTTTCCATATGCCATATTGTACATTTTCTATTGCATACTGCCTCATTTCCCGTCATGTTGTATTTCACACCACCTCATTTCATATGCCATGCTGTATGTTCCCTATCCCACACTGCCTCATTCTATATGCCATGCTGTATGTTCCCTAGTCCACACTGCCTCATTCCACATGCCATGCTGTATGCTCCGCTCCCTATTCTACAACACCTCTTTCCATATGCCATATTGTACATTTTCTATTGCATACTGCCTCATTTTATATGCCATGTTGTACATTCCCTATTCCACACCACCTCATTTCATATGCCATGCTGTATGTTCCCTAGCCTACACTGCCTCATTCCATATGCCATGCTGTATGTCCCCTAGTCCACACTGCCTCATTCCATACTGTATTTATTATTGGTATAGTGTCAACAATTTACATTCACATCAGTCCCTGCCCTCACGGAGCTTACAATCTAAGGTTCTTACATACATACAGGACCAATTTAAACCGGAGACAAATAATCTTCCGGCAAGTCTTTGTAGCGTGGAAGGAAATCAGAGTACCCAGAGGAAAGCCACGCAAGCACAGGGAGAACATGCAAACTCCTTGCAGATAGTGACCTGACCGGGATTCTAACCAGGGACCCCAGTGCTATAAGGCACAAGCGTTAACCACTACGGTACTGTGCTGCCCAGTATGTTCCCTATTCCAGTTCACCTCATTTCATATGCTATGTTGTACATTTTCTATTGCACACCGCCTCATTTCTTATGCCATGTTGTACATTCCCTATTCCACACGCCGTGTTGTACATTTTCTATTGCACACCACCTCATTTCTTATGCCATGTTGTACATTCCCTATTCCACACGCCCTGTGATTCAATGTATCCCTGGATGAGAAAGGTTGATGTAGTTAGTCTATAAAATGACTTTATTTTAAAAACACAAAAAAGATTTCTTATACTATACACCAACATTAAACAGTATTATTACATTAAAAAAAATTAGGGCTCATTCACACCACTGTGTTGGGTTTGTGCATGCATGTTAACATGCATTGCATTAAGGCAGCCCATTCATTTGAATGGACTGCCTAAAGCACTAATAGAGGTGTATGCATAATTTCCATCAGGAAAGGTGCATTGGGGTACCACTCAGGATGAATGGTACCGTTTTGCACAAATACGTGTAATGCGTGTTGCTACAATGCAATAGTGTGGCTGGGCTCCTAAAGGCAAACTCCAATAGTTTTAAATGGTGAACCTTATCCAAAACTGCTGGCTGAAAATATAAAAATTTTAACCAAACAAAGAAATAAAACAATGCAGTCCTCACCATAGAGAAGGAAATATATACAAAACACAATACATTCCCATTACACTACAACATAAATGCAGTATTTGAAGAACACAATGAATGCCAGCTTTTTATCTCTAGAGACTGTATACAAAAATACCGCTGGTGCCTCATGGCCATTCTATATAATGAAAATGTCATAATAAAAAGGAACCTTATTACAAATGCTAGAAGTATTCCATGTTACTGTTGCCATGGTTTCCACTGTTTTATCCCATGTTACCAGTAGCGATGGGCTCGATGTTGGAGCTGAACACGAGTTTGACTCGAACATCGGCGGTTTGTGTGTTCGGCGAACACACAAACTTTCAGGGAATTCGGCCGACTGTTCCCCCCGCCGAGCTCAGCACACAGGACACTATGAGCCCTGAGAGCCATGATTGGGCAAAGTCATGATGGCTATGTCCAATCATGGCTCACCTGTTACAACTGAAAACAGCTAGCTCCACCCTATTGTTTATAAGTTGCCGGCATCTGTCAAAATGCCATTCTGTGACAGGTGTTCGTCGCAGCGACGGGACGGCGGTTGTAGTTTTTTTAAATTATTATTTCTATTTATTTTTTGTTTTCTTTCGTCTAGTCGTCGTGGACAACGCGGTTGACGCTGGATTACATCGGTGGATCTATTTTTTTTTTGTTATTAAAGACTTGTCAAAAACATATCTTTTGTTTTGTTTTTTCAAATAAAGGATTTTTTCAAAAAAGTGGCCTCTTTTCTTAAAAACTTTTATTTAACCCTTTTCATGAATGGGTAGGGGTACCCCTTACTCATTCACAAGGGGGGGCGCCCCTTTATTAAAGAGGTACCCTGATGTGGATAAGCCCCCTGTTCGCACCGCCACAGGGCTTGTGGGGAAGAGGCTCTTGCCCCAACGGCATGGGGACAAGGGGCTTTTCCAGGGGCAACCCTGGAAAAGCACCTTCCCAGTGCCGAGGGCATGTGGCCTGGTATCGCAGGGAGGTGGGGCCGTTGCTCGCCCCCCCCCTTCCCTGCCAGGCCCGAGCTTGGATCAAGGGTCTGGTTGGAAATTTTAGGGGGGACACCACTTCCCCCCCATTTTTGGGGGTGGGGTTCCTCCCTAAAATTCCTACCAGACCTTAAGGGTCTGGTATGACTTTTGGGGGAAAACCCATGCTCTATTTTTTAAAATGGGGTCCCTCCAAACATTGTTTTGGAGGGGGAACTGCATGCTTTAAAAAAAAAAAAAGTATGTACGTTGTACAGATGTGCCACTTTACAGGCAGTCTAAGGGGACCCACCAGGCATGGTATGTAAAGGAATTTTTCATTTTTATAGTTACCCATTAAGTGATGTTAAAATCACTGCTCCTTTAAAAACTGGATTTTTTTTTTCATTGATTCCTGTCCCCCAGGGCAGCAGCCGGATCCCCATACTCTTTTATGGCCAATAACTTGCATATAAGCCTTCAAAATGGGGACATTTGATTTTGAAAGCTCCACCCCATAGACTTGCATTGAGTTTGAACTTTTCCCATGTTCGAAAGTTCGAATTCGAACCAAACACGGGGGTGTTCGGCTCATCACTAGTTACCAGGTGCGCTGGCAAATCTACTAGATCAAGCCACGTTACCAAGGTGTCATGTTAAAAAGACCTCAATAATTTCATGTCATCAGGTATTGCATTACAACAGCCACAATGATGGCGTCTAACCAGCTACCAAGGGCTTGACGGATATAAAGCTACAAGATGCCATGCTATATATCTTATAGTTTTTGGTGCTTGTTACAAAGCCTGAGGGTCATTTTGTTCCAGAACCTCCTACCCATCTTCACATGACAAGTGAAACAAAACAGTGTGCTGCTGTTGAGGGGTAGGAGTGACTTTTAATAAACCAAATCAGAAGCCAGGAGAAAACACTTCCTATCATGCCAGACATTTTGTGGTCGGTATAGGGGTGTAGAGGCTGACGGACTACTCAACTGCAGAAATCTCAGGCAAAAGCAAAGGCCTACCGGCATCTACTCATAAATATGACCCTCGGTACAATCTCGAATACATTCTAATAAACCAAGAAAATCTCCAAGGGCCTATTCACATTGTTGTGGTACTGTGTGTACTACCACAATGCACTTTATATGTGTTAGCATGTTGTGGTGCCATTCATTCAAAGTCACCACAACATACTAAAGGGACTGCACATGCACCTTAACACAAGGTGTTCCGTGTTGCATAAAAAATTATGCATGTCAGATTTTTTGGGCCTTTTCTGTGTATTGGCAGCCAAATTACTTCAATGGGCTGGCTTCTCGAAATGCATGTTAGCGTGACATAAAATGTGTACATTAACACTATGCACCAAGACACCAAAATGTAAATGGGTCCTAATAAGTCACGGCCTCCATTTTATTCTGTCAATTGCAGCAAATGGACAGTACAATTGCATACATCTCAATATACTCTGTTAAAACTCTTTCCAATCAGACAACGTATTCTTTTTTAGTGGGGTAGCAAGTACTTTATTGCATCTATTTTGGCTTTTACTTTTTTCCGTTTCTTCCAAAACAGCCACTTAATGTAAATGCTGCTTTCTCTTAATCTAGTGTGAAAATGTTCTCGGAGAGGGAAGAAGAGAGCAGTAATGTTTCCTTTTTTTGTTTTAGAAGTGTGCACTGCTTGTTCTCTAGTGATTAAATGATTACCGCACTGACCTGGGATTACTCCTCTGCACCTGCTGCCATGTGTCAAGTGTGGAGCTTAATAAAAGAAGGACGCTCCGTGGGGTGTGTCAAGTGGGAAGAGAGAAGCTAAACAGATTCTGATTATCCACTTCAAAATGACAGGCGACCCAAGATTATCTCCCCATGACACATTTGCCTTATTTCTGTGTGTATTTTTAACCATGTGGGCAAGAACCATAGCTCCTACTGGTAAACAGTTACAGTACACAATACAGATATTGATTAAAAGGTTTATTCTTCATAATACTGCAGAGTGTATTGGAATGCTCCAGGGCTTACCTAAATCTACATATACAGAAGTACAGTATACCAGCAAAATCTCACCGCTGCACACATAGGACACACTGCTTATTAACACAGGAGGCTGGCAGAGCTGGCTCAAGGCTAATAGTAGGGTCACAATAGTCTTTTATACAGTACACTCTGCAGGAAAAGAGGGGAGACAAAAAAAAAAAAAAAAATCCCAACAAAGGAAATACAAAAAGGCACTATATCCCAATGGAATGAAAACAAAGACACAAATGATTCATAAATGATTCATTATACATCCAGTTATCCAGTTTCAAAGTTCAGGTCCCATAATTTATATCCTATGTTTTGTTGCACTGCAATCAGCTATACAGAAGTTTCCTTTGACTCGGCCACTGGCGGATGGAAACTTGTCAACTCCATGAAAGTAATACCTAGGGGGAACAAAACAAGCAATAAGTGACTTATGTGTGGATTTATTCACTCTAAAAGGACTTCTACTGTACATCAGACATTTTTTTCAAAGCTTGGCAATGTAATACCTAGTATTTTGCTCCTTTTGGTCTGTTAAATATACCATTGAATGAGTGTTGTTATATCTGTTCGACAAGTGCACAAAATACCTGTTGATCCGGCCAGAAATCTTATCAGCTGCTAGCTTCCTGTGCCCTCTCTGCTGATGCTGCACTATTATCAGTTGTATTGTTCGGAGGATTATGTTATGGACAGGAGGACAGGGGGAGTTTCTTGTAATCTTGTCCTGATACTAGGGATGCACCAATACTGTTTTTTCAGTATCGAGTACCAATATTTTTTTTCGGTACTCGCCAATACCGAATACTGATACTGGCATCCGTGGGCCCGGATTATCAGGAAGCCGGTTGGCGGATCATGACCCACTGCTCAGCTTCCTGATTGCCTGGGAAACCAGTATTCAATCGAAAGAACACTGGTTTCATTTCCCTCGCGACACTGCAAGGCAGCCTGGCTTCCTGACCAGGGCTAAGATTAGCTTTTATAGGAAAACTTAGCATACAAATTAAGTTGCCTATTTCTCTGGATCTACTACATATTGTGACATACAAAATTCACTAAAGAGCATGTGCTTATAGATTTTTTTCACCATATGCTCAATTTGAATGGCTCAGGTTTGTGACAGGTTTACTATACATTTGCTCAATCATAGTAACCAAAGAGGTGTTACCTTTAGAATTTAATTTTTTTTAATGTGTTTTCGGAACGTTTATTCAATTTTCTAATAGGCAACTGGGGGCAAATCAACGATCATTTTCAACCATAGTGATAAAAAAAATGTAAGGTTTTTGGTGAGAAATTTTAAAACCAAACAACTTTTTGAACGACATTTGTCAAGTTTTTGATGACATTATTGAATGTTCTGACTAGATTTATCATACAAATATTGGTATGAAAAATCTACCAGTTTAAGTCTTTAAATGGGTTTATGAAAGCCATAAAACTTCAGTTCTGACCCTGGTGCTTGTAATGTACAATGCAAGGTAATAGCTCAAACCTGAATCAGACTGGCAATTATAGGGCAACAAGAATGGATCAGTTTGAGAGATTTTCCTAAAGAAGCCAAATATTCTTTGTAAGAAGAAGAATCCTGATACATGATCTCGCTACCAAGGTGATGTGATTTTAAAAGTAATCTAAATTGATCAAAACATTTTTTTTCAATGTTTTTCTTTCATTGTGTGCACATGTTTTGTTTCACAAATAAATATTACAAGATAAAGCAAGAATAGTTAGCCAAGTAGATGCCTGTTTTATTCTGACTAAAACCTAGTACAAGACAGTCCTGTAGGGGACGAGTGACTGTTCTGACTTATTCATCTATTTAAATTGCAGCTTGAGCTATTGAGGTCTGTTAACCTCAATGTCTTAATCCTTCATTAGTGGACACATATGATTTAGATACAATTGGGTATACAATTTAGACACAACTGCCACCTTCAGGAGAACTGGACACTAGCAACAACAACAAATTCTGTTAGTCAGTCAGTATAACCCTTCCCACTACTATACCTCATGTTTTTATTTGGGGTGTCCTAGGAGAATGGATTGGACTCTGCAGTCAAGGAGCCATCCAACCTTACCCTTTTTGCATGAGAGTTCTAGCCTTCATGGTTTCCTTCTTCAAGGCAGTCCTGTGTGCCCAATTCCACTCTATAGACTGTTGCAACTCAACATTTTGGCAGCGTAGGACAAACCAGCACTCTCTCTTCAACCAGGGTGCCATGTCACGCATTTTCATGGTGCAGGCATGCTGGCCACCAGCACCATGGAAACGCATAATGCCAATCCAGTGAAGACTGCATCAAGGACCTCCCCCAGCATTCACAAAAGGACAGAAGCCTAAATCTGCTCCACTTCTCACCCTCTGCCGTGCTGACACAGCTGCACATTGGTGAAGATTAGAATGTAGGACTCTGATGTGAAGCGGGGGATGAGGACTGATGTGAAGGGGGGAATTCTGATGTGAATGGGGGGCTCCTCAAGTGAAGGGGGAACTCTAATGGTAAGGGGGCTCCTGAATTGAAAGAGGGACATCTGATGTGAAAAGGGAACTCCATGTTGTTTTTGATTGGGATCCCCCTTAAAATCCATACCAGACCCCTATTTAGGTTAATGGTCTAGTATAGGTTTTGGTAACCACACGTAATTTTTTCCCATTTACATTTTTTACATTTGAGACTGGGGTGCCTTGGGATTTTGCATAAAGGGTGCCATGACTGAAAAAAAATTGGTAAATGCTGCTCTACTGGAACTCTGGAAAATTGGCAGGCAGACTCTTTCAGTCATCAACGTCTGTACTGTGGAGAATAATCTATTCACCAAGAGGTGTTTTAAGATCTGTCGCAGGTGGGAACATTGGACGTGGATCTCCTGGCTTCCAGATTCAACGAAAAAACTGAACAGGTTTGTCTCCAGGTCCAGGAATCCTTTAGTCATAGCAGTGGATACCCTGGTGACACTGTGTTATCAGTTCAGCCTGATCTATGTCCTGTCCCTTCTGAAGCTCCTTCTTCATCTCAACTAAAATGGAAGACATCCCGATGATACTCAAGCTAACAGGCTAGTCCACACATTTGTGTAGTTTTGCCAGGTGAATGTTCAGACCTAAGGTCCATCTGGCAGCTCTTTGAACTGCAAGTTACCCTAGTGCAACACTGGTGTTCAGTGGGCTTATTAGCTTCAATAGCTGTATTGCCCGCTCCTCAGTTGGACTGCTTTTGGACATCCCAATTGAATCAGGAGGACACAGTTCATTAGAGGGACAATCTTCTGTGTGCTCTGATGAACGATTATGAACACAGCATTTTTGTACCCACTGTAAATTTATTTTCTTGGAGTTCATTAGTGGACACTGTGGATCATAAAGACACAGGCATGGGACCTATGAATATTGCTTTTCAACAAAACTGGGGCATGAAAGTTGGAGGGGTTATACTGGCTAAAAGATTTTGTTTTTTGTTGTTGCCAGTGTCCAATTCTCCTGAAGGTGGCAGTATAACTCAATTGTATCTCAATCAGCTGTATCCACTAATGAACTCCAAGAAAAGGATTTTACGATGGAGTACAAAATCCTGTAATTTTTTACATTTTTATTTTTTAGTCCTAAACATAATAAATAAATGTAGGGGCTTCGGGGAAATATTAGGGGTCTAAAACAGACCCCTGATATTTCCCTTTTAAAATAGAAAAAGAGATAGAGGACACAGAGTATTCTATCTCTTTTTCTGCAGCCCCTGTTATCAATGAACAGGAATCCTCTATACTGAGTGTTCCTATTCATTCATAACTTGAGAACAGAGTATGTTTACTATAACTACAACTATGATGTAGATCACTTCCCATTCATTCTAAATTGAGGATATAGTAAACATACCATGTCCTTAATTATGTACAAACACTCAGCGATCACTGATTATTGAGTGTTTGCACTCGCTCTCCTCTCTCACGCGCCGTCACAGGAGGCTGAGCGAACGGTGCAGGGAGGAGACCTCTGCCGGACTGTCTCCGCCCACACACCGCTCTGCTGAACTGTGATAGGAGGCTGAGCGGTGTGGGAGGAGAGACGCCGGCCGTCACACTTTCTCTCCTCCCCGCTGGGACACAAAGCAGTGCCCAGCAGGGAAGAAAGAAAGCAGGGATGCGCCGATCGGCAGGAAAATTGCACTTTTGGCATTTAGCCAAAAGTGCCATTTTCGGTCGATATGTTTTCGGCGGCCGATATATCGGTGCATCCCTAGTTAGTACTGTAGTAGTCTTTGCATTTGTTTTAGTTAGGAAGCAGCAGGGAGGGGAAACATAGTATGGTTTAGGTGTGTTTCAAGTGCAAATGAAACAAGGTAGAATAGAAAGAGAAAGCTGCTTAAATATTTCTGTCTACACTCACGCCTCCATTCTTCAAGAGGAAGGTCTAGATTATCATGTGAATCATCATATTGATCTGCTTCTGCCTCGTCATCGGAATCATGAAACTGCTCAAAGTATGGATGACATAAAGCATCAGTTGCTGTTATTCGCTTATCTGCATCCAACACCAGCATCTTTTCCAGAAGGTTGACAGCTAAAGACAGAAAGAAGAGGCACAGATGAACAGTAAATATTACTCCTACATAAATAAATCTCAGACTCCAAATCCACAAATGAAGCTTAGATATACGTAAGCAAAAATTAAGAAGCATTGAAAAAAAAACCATGCTAGCAGCTTGCTAATGATCATTCCTTTTACAATGGTTAAAGCAAGCAAGCAATAAAGTAAAGGTTAGAAATATAAGAAGTTAAAATGCTTTTAAAATATTACCTGCAAATATATCAAATTAAGTCACAAAGAAAGCTTCGATCCCTCAAAACACATCCTATTACTCTGGCTTTAAAAGAAAACCCTGCATTGAGAAAAAACACAAAGTCTGTCATTGCTGACCTTCAGCTGTCTCTTGCTTCTATATTTTCTAAATCACTGACCCAGAACACGTATGCAGATCAGAAAAGTCAGAGTGAAGTCATAACACTTGATCTGCATACGTGTTCTAATTTAGTGATTCAGAAAGTATTGCAATTAACCCGCCAGAAACCTGAACAGATCAAACCGAGCATTAGATGGAAAAATGCATACCCAAAAGGTTGCCTTTAGTGGAAAAAAAAATCATCAGTAGAGATATAGGCCGCTGAAATTATACGCAAATCTTAACTTTCTGTAAAATGTGATCTTGCCCCACCCCCTTCTGTTTCCCTATTGGCCAGGAATGCATCCATCACTTTCAAGAGTTAATACGGAGGCTGGAAGATGCAGCGGTTCATCTTATACAGAGAGAGTGAACATTTGCATATAGCTTCAGCTGTTTATATCTGCATTTTCAAAAAGATAGGTTAGCAATGCCAGCTTACATACTTCTCTCCAGACAGGTTTTCTTTAAACATATAAATTGGTTTACATAACAGAGCTGACATAACTATCAATGCCATCAGTAAGTCTCAAGCTAGCCATACATTATGCAAATTTTGGCTCGTTCTTCAGGAACCGGGCAAAATTTGCACAGTGGGTGCCACTGCCGTCACCCTTTCGGCCGGCATCCCTCGATCAGCTGATCGAAGGAGTCGGTGAGGAAATCTTTGAACAAACAGAGCTGGCAGCAAGTGAGCTGCCAGCTCTGTTCAGGTATTCCGACAGCAGCCAGTGGGAATCCCTCGATCAACTCACTGGTAGCGTTGATGAAGGAATCTGTTTTTTTTTTTTTTTTCAGCCCGCGGGTTGAATAAAAAAAACCCAACAGAACAGTGTATGGCCAGCTTTGAACAAAACCTAACTTCTCATTTTAATTGCCCTCTAATTCTTCCCAGCATTTACATTAATATTAGATTCATGTTGCAGTTACAACTAATTGTTACACTATATAAGTCCATTATACACATCAAAAATGATTTGCCTTGATATAACAATATTTGGTGAAAGATTGTTACTTTCATCAGCTGTTTTTTTTTATTAAAAGGAGAACTATGGGGTCAGTGTTTTTCCCCATAGTTCTTCTAAGGGTAACGGGAGGACACAAACTAGCGTACTCCCGTCACCCAAAGCCGCAGCCGGAACGGATCCGACAATGCTGTCTGGATCCACCCAGCTGCGTGAGTGACAGCTGGCTCTGCCTATCCAGAGGTAAAGCCAGCTGTACCCGCCCCCTCCGTTCCACCACTCAGCGCTGGAGGATCGGACAGGGGAGGGGGAATCCCTGCAGGGAGCTGTGAGTGACCGTCATGGCTCTCTGCAAGGATAGAGAAGTGAGCGAGCGACGGTATGTGTTCGCTCACTTCCCGATCTACTGAGCCGACCTGTGACGGTTTCCATTGTCACAGGTCGGCTCAGATTATGTGGCTGAGTGAAAATCACTCGCCTCATAATTCTCCTTTACGGCCAGTACATTCAGAATTATCTCTAACAATACTGCTTTTACTTCAACTACACTACTTAAGCCGGATGTATGGAAGTGTATGTTAACCATAGATCTCTTTTATATGTGATAAATAAATGGCACTTCTACCACTGTTATCTGATATTGTAGCCTAAAGCCCCATTCACAGCATACGCATTTTGCAGCTTTAAAGCAGACAAAATGCACAATTCTCAACATCCCTAGTTATACATTACAGATGTTCACGTCTAAGTAGGACACTGAGGAGTGATGGATAAAAGTCCTGCCTGGTGCATGTTTCTGGTGTCAATGTAGCAGTCTAATAATGGTAACTGGAAGCATTCTTCTGCAAGATTCATGAACACAAAGTCAGTGGTTAGTAAAGATTATTCCATATTAGATCACATTTATTTTAAAATATAACTTTTCCTTACACCACCCTAAAACTATAAAACATATTAAAACCAAACTCCAGCCATTTCTTTTAGTCCTGAATAGAGTGCAGAATAGGGAGAACCTATTCTCTCTGAAGCAGATCTCTGCTTCATCAGCTTCTCTGGGGGGGTCCCCAGGTGACATTAGGAGGTCTTAGAGACCCCAGATGTCTCCATAAAGGGGACCCGTCACGTAAATTAGCTATCACAAAGGGGGCTTCTTAGCCCCCTATATGATTACAAAGTGTAAAAAAAAAAAAAAAAGAAGAAGTTTAAGAAGCATAAAAAAATTTAAATCACATATAAAAAAAATAAAAATAAAAACCATACAAAAAAAAAGTAAAAGCCCCCTGTCCCCAAATACACATGCAAACATGCATCGTGTGTGCCTATGTGCAAAAAAAGACGATTGCGCTTATTGTGCTGCACACTTTACATATTATGGCGAACGTCGGAGCGTGAGCAATAATTTTAGGGCCATCAATCATTATGAACACTAAACTGATGAGCAGTAAAAAAAAAATTGAAAGCGTCGCCTATGGCCAATTTTGGGTATGGTAGTTTTGCGATTTTGAGGCCGCACACAATTTTAAGGCTTGATATATTTAATGTCTATTTACCCGACGTGACCCCCACCTTTTGTATTTTACCCACAAATTGGGGTAATAATAAATGCTAGATAACATAGGGAAAAACGTGTTTTTTTTTCAAAATTTACAGAATTGCTTTCGTTCTATAGTAAAAAATAAAAACCCCAGCGGTGATAATACCACCAAAAGAAATCTGTCCTCTATCTGTCCCCAGAAAATGGTATAAAATGTATTTCAGTACAGCGTTGCATGACTGAAAACATTTCAAAGTACCGCAGTGCTGAATACTAAAAAATGGCCCGGATAGGAAGGGGGTTTAACACCTGGTCTTCAAGTAGTTAAATAAAATAAATGTTAAATAAAAAAATAAGAATGAGAGCAATAATTCTAGGCCAAAGTTACACATATCTCTAAACTGATGACCTGTAGGTGCTTTTAAAAAGTAATCTATGGACTTTTTCTGGTACTGAATTGTGTTGCCATTTCATGCACACACACAATTTTTAGTGTGGGCATGTTGGGTATCTATTTACTTGTTGTAACCTCATCTTTTATATTTAATTTTTTTTAAATGGGTATTATATTGGTGTTTTGGGGCACTAAATTTAACTTTCAAAAATGTTTTGGGTTTGATAAAGAGTTGCACTAATATCATGCCACATAACAATTTGCAACTGCCGCCATTTTATTCTACAGGGTTGGCTTTCAGAAAATATATAATGTTTGGGGGTTTGAAGTAATTTCGAGCCTAAAATGTGGATTATAATGTGTGCAACAAACGGGGGGAAAAGGCCTTGGCGGTGAAAGGGTTAACGGACATGTCAAGCATATGCCACAGAAATAACTTGTGCAGGAAGGAAAACATTACCAAGCAGACACCTCTCACCAGACACTTTTGTACGAGCCAATTGGCTAGAGATGACATTTTTCATCTCGCCACACTCAGCTCTCGCCCAGCTGAGTGCGGGAGAGGATATTGCTAGACACACTGCATGCGAAGCTTTGCACACCGATGCCTCCCGTTTGCTGAGTGCGGCTCCACGTGCAGTGTGTCAGAGGCTTCACTCATCTCCCCCCCACCCGGGTTGTCACATCACTGACTCCACTGCACACAGTACACTTACAACACATAATACACACACACAACACATTATACACATACACACCACATAATACACACAACTTACGCTACTTGTACATTGCTATTCAGCCTGTCCACGGTCCACTATGAGCAGCCTGGGGAGGAAGCTGTGACATGGGGAGGCCGCAGGTCGTCTGGCGGTGCCCAAGTAATCGATAATGAAAGTCATTGACAACGATTTTCATTATTGATTATTATCGACTTCGTCGATGAGTTGTTTCAGCCCTAGTGACAAGTGCCAGAGTTCCAGGAAGTAACAGGAGACATATTAATCTGCCCTTAGTAAAAATGGCCACTGTCGGAAGAATGGGGAAGAAAAGAGAAATAAGGTATGCAATGAATACAAAGCCTGCAATTATCTAGAAGTATGTGTTTGTAGATTGTCATTACTAAACATTTCTAAAGGTGCCTTTGTTGTCATTTCAAAGATATGTGTAAAGGTCCTTTTTAACCATCTGTTCACAGAAACAAGTGTCGCTTTGGGAGATTTCCTATCTGCTCTTGTTTGGGTGAAATCTGCAAAATTTTACATTTTTCCTCACTTTCAGTTCAGGTGACAAATAGTCACCAGGAGATAGACTGCAATAAAAAGTTGACAAGAGATCTTATGCTTCACCACACTAAAAAATATGTTATGACTGGAGTACTAGTTAAAATATGTCTAGGCTTAATTTTCATTAAAGCATCCAGAACCCAGTACCACATCTTATCATGCATAGTTGCCATCTTTAATTAATTACTTTAAGGCTAGACTGCCACTTCAGACACCTCTACAAATTAGCACAACAGGATCACCTTATCCTTTATAGTGGACCTTTGTCCCAGGTATTACCCTTATTTTGGCATATTAACATCATCCATCAATATAAAAAGCACTTATAAAGCCCATCAAATTTGATACCCAAATATCAGATTTTGACCAAGAGAAGCATTTCAGACATCAAAATTGAGGTTTGGTGAGCAGGAAAATGCTTCCACTTTGTTAAACAAAAAGGGTCTGAAGCAGAGGTCCATTTTTACCACCAGGAAAACCTTTCATGAAACATTTTAAATGCCATTTTTAGCTTTCAGCCAATGATATTTAAAAAAAATTCCTTATAAACAAAAACAAATGCACAATAAAAAGTGTTACCAAGAGGGTTTGCGTATCTCAACAATAACCCAAAGTCTTTCTTCTGCACCTTTGGGAGACTCTTGATATAATTTTTAGCCTGGAACAGAACAAGCATTTAACTATTTAAGCTTTTGGTTATTGGCCAATTTCTTGTATTTTAATATAGCATTTAAATTCATTATTTGTTAGCAAAAAAATTAAATAAACAAATGATTTACAATGAATTAATTAGACATATGTGCAAAATCATAATAAACATTAACATACATACAGTGGGGGTAATTTATCAAAACTGGAGCAGACAGAAACTGGAGCAGTTGCCCATAGCAACCAATCAGCTTCTCTCTTCATTTTGTTCATTTCAACTTTGAAAATGAAAGAGAAAAGCTGATTGGTTGCCATGCACAGCTGCTCCAGTTTTAATAAACACACAGACACACATATACATACACACTTATTAAAAGTTATTTGTGGGGGTGGGAAAATATTCGTTATAAAATGCTGTACTTACATCAGGACTCTGGAGCTTCTGGACAAAATCCTGAGTAGGTGTTCCAGTAATTTTCATTATTTCTGTAAGCTGATCCAGATCTAATATTTAAGTTAAAGATCATAACACTGCAGACTATTAATATTATCATTTCAATGAACACTTACAAGGCTCAGGGTAAATGGTCTTTAAATCTGTAAGATAAAATAAAATGAACAAAAAATATATCCATTGCCATGTTATTTATATCTCAGATGTGTGTTATTACATGGATTGATAATGAATAATAATAATAATAATATATAATTATTACAGCTTGATGTGGGACTGAAGAAGTGGATTTCCAACACCACACAAAACGACAGCTTCTATAGGTTGATGTACTAAAACCCAGCTTATTCTCAAGTAACAAGATTTTTTAAGTTGCTGGAAAAGCTTTGCATCATGGATGCCAAACAAGATGAAATGAAAAGGTGTTAACTAACAGCAAAGCACATTAGGGTGGGTTCCAGTAGATTTAAGGATGAGCAGATGCCCCATTGGCCATAGATCAGCAGAAAAAACAAACAAATTCATTACATATTTGCAATGCATGCACATTTCCAACTTTTTTAGATCTAAAAAGGTTGCAAATGCATAAAAAATCCAGTGCCTTCCTAACTTCCTGTCTAATCTCACTTTGCTGTACTGAAATTCCAACCAGTCTTATCAGTTCTACCCAGCTTAACTCTGGAGAGTGGGAGGAGTTTCATAGTCCAAATTAGGGGCGACTGGTCGCGGTGACAATGCTGCTCCTCTATAGAGCAGTTAGTGAGAATTCTCCTCCTAGTGTGTTACTGTCAGGTTTATAGGTGAAAATAAGATCGGCCATACTCATATCAGTCCGGCCAACCAACTAACCTTGCCCTAATTTGGGAGAGGATGGACCATGAACATGTTGGTTGAATATTGCAGATCTGAGCATTCAGTGCCCACTGTACCCCTCTGTAGTTTTCAGAATTTTGAGAACAATGAAAAAAAGGTTTATAAATTGGTCGCTAACAGTTAACACTCTGCCTTCCATAGGTCTTCTGAATGAGTGTTTTATATGATTTTTTTACATCTAGGTTCATTAATCATACTGTAGCAGTGCTGCTTGTTTCCTTGGACTAAAAACAAGTGTAAAAACTAAACTTCCTAGCACAGCTTCAAAAGCTCAATGTAAGTTGCCCCCTAAATTAGTCTTTATTTTGGCATTCCACCATAGGCAAAAAAAATGGGTTGGATTCAGTATCCTGCACATACATATAAATACTAATTACAGCTCCACTTACAAGAACACTGATTCCCTAAGTGACTCTGAAGAACTTGTATAAGAAAAAAAAAGTACATTTATTTTTAGCTGGAAGAGATTTTAATTATCTTTCTAAAGCACAAGTTCTTCCCTAGTTTAAAGACACATATTCGGCAAGTTTGATCAATTAAAGATGGCACTGAAATCTCCAGCTGGGACCCTTTTAGGCTTTTAATGGCACACTTTATTCACTGAGCTTTTGTAAGAATGTGCTGTGTGCAATGCACCATTTCTAGAACGTACAACAGGATACATCACAGAAAAAAAAATTAGCAGCAGCACTTAAGGTGGAGTAACATCTCAGTTTCAATGTAGTGCTGAAACCATGAAATCTCACACAAAGTAGGATTTTCTTTGATTCTACCCTTTAATAATAATATTTCAGATCTGAAAAATGCATTTCTTTACTCAAGTGTATTGGTATACAGTATATAGGTACAATATATATATAAAGAAAACAAACCCCCTTCACCCACAAATTAACACAGTGGTGTACTGTAGTGGTTAGCGCTTCTGCCTTGGGGGTCCCTGGTTCAAATCCCAGCCAGGACACTAACTGCAAGGAGTTTGCATGTTCTCCCTGTGCTTGTGGGGGTTTCCTCTGGGTACTCCGGTTTCCTCCCACACTCCAAAGACATGCTGGTAGGGTAAATTGGCTCCTGTCTAAATTGTCCCTGTATGCATGTGATATAGGGACCCTAGATTGTAAGCAGGGACTGATGTGAATTTGCTACTATGTATAGTGCGGAGTAAATTGTCGTCACTATTTAAAATACCTGTAATAAATAAATAAATCTTCCAATTAACTTTTGAATGAAAAATAAGTATTGTACTTACTTCATTCAATAGCTTAACTGTATAATGCTCCTTTTAAGCTTTGTTCACATTTGTAACTGGAAATCTGCTTCTCATTTTCATCTAGAAGCATTTAACAGTTGTCCTCCCACATTTCCCTGTAGCACAAAGTTTGCTAAGTTAATTACAAGCGAGAATAATTTTACCCTTTTTTGTGACACCCAAAAAAATGAACAAAATTAATAATAGTGAAAAAAGCTTAGATATTAAAGGCTAGAAAAATAATAGCTGAAGGCAGAAGGGGGAAGTAGTTATTTAGGGATGATTCAGTAAACTAAGGGTTAATAAGGGGTTAATTAGGAACAAAAAAAAAACATTTTGTCAGGTTGCTTTAACGGAAATCATACGCAGATCAAATCGTATTCCTTTGATCTCCAGATGAATGGAACAGAGTAAATACAAAAGTAACAATTTTACTTTATGCCTCTCTATCTTCCATGTGAAACGTGTTTATAAATAACTCCCAACTGTCATTTTCACAGCAGGGAACTGCAGCCAAAATGCTGGAGGATGAGTGACAGCGGGAAAGAAGGACAGAGTGCTACACATGCCTTGTGTACTTTTAGGCTAGGTTCACGCCTAGGCGATTCAGATGCCGAGCTTTGTTCGGCCGATTGTTGCGCGTTTTCGATTGGCCGACTGTTCATTGAAAGTCACGCGGCTTTCAATGCATACAGATGTCTATGGGACCCAAACCGCGTGACAACCGCTCGAAAATTGCTCCTGCACCTTTTTCGCACGACAAAGCGCAAAGGTGTGAGCAGACTCCATTGACTTCAATGTGAATCTGTGTTTTAGCGCGACCCAATCCGCGTGATAAATCGCCTAGGTGTGAACCTAGCCTTTTTTTCTTGTGTGTAGCATGCCCAAAGTCCACAACTGGTTAAATAACACTCCCCACCCCCTGAATGCAGTCCACCAGATACAATACTTACACTAGGCAGGGACACACAGTGATGATCACTCAGGGGGTGAAGGTGGGAGACAACTTCATTAAAGGACAAGTGTATTTCCACTTTTGCAGTCGCCCGCTCAGATCTAGAGAGCTCGGGCCGGCCGTTTTTTTACTACGGCCGGCCCGGAGGTGGTTAAAAAAACCCAAATATATGTTTGTTATGTTTTCCCATTCGCACAGCATATCTGAAAAAAAATATGTATAAATAAATATTTCTTACCTTTTAGATGTCTGTGCAGCAGGCCTTTCTGAGCTTTTCTCTCAATTTCCAAGTGACAGGAAACTCTGGCCGTTCCCATAGAAAGAATAGGGACACACTAAGCTTCCCCTCATTAACATACAATGCTTTTAGACCTTTAACCCTATGTTAGGACAGACAGGGTTCAAATCTAGTTTACAACTTATAATGATGAACTGCCAGCACAGTACAGCCCCCCTCCCCTCCACCTGCATTCTAAAGCAAAACTCTTTCAGAATGGAGCATGTATTCATAAACGCTCACTACAGCTTAGCCACTATCACTCACTACTACAGGCCAGAGAAGACCTAAAAACACTTCTTAATCATAAAACTGCCCAAAAGTTCCTGTGGATGAGTCAGCGGAATTATGAATGGGGTAACAAACCGGGTAGATCGTTAGCTAGGTCCCTACGCCACAAACATTCTACTACATACATCCCCAAAATTAAAAATAAGGATGACAAAGTGGTTCACCTGTCTAAGGAAATAGCGACAGTATTTTGTGATTATTACAGTTCTTTATACAATGTGATTGACAAATCTGCTCACTCAGACGAGCACCTCAGAGCCAGGAAATCCCTTATTGCAGAGTATTTACGGAACGCTCAACTTCCAACTTTTCCAGAGGAAGAGATGGAAGCTCTGGAAGCAGAAATTACCAGTGAGGAATTCAATAAGGCGTTGGGCACAATGGCATCGGGTAAGGCTCCAGGCCCGGACGGCCTAACACTCCCTTATTATAACACGTTCAAAGATGTACTACTACCCACCTAACTAATTATGCTAACTCTATTAATACGGGAGGGTCCCTACGCCCAGAAACGACCCTGGCGCATATCACAGTACTGCCCAAGCCGGGAAAAGATCCCACTTGCTGCCCTAGTTATAGGCCAATCTCGTTGTTAAATGTAGATGTTAAACTCTATTCGAAGGTTCTGGCACTCCGCCTTCAGCCATTGATACCTCGCTTTGTGTCTCCAGACCAGACAGGATTTATTCCGGGACGTGAAGCTAGAGACAACTCTCTACGTACCTTGATTATATCCCACGTCCGCAGGACATCCCACACTACTGCTAGCAACGGACGCTGAAAAAGCGTTTGATAGAGTGGCCTGGGATTTCATGCTAGCAACTCTGGGCACCATGGGGATACGTTCGGGTTTAATGTCCCGGATTTCCGCGTTGTATCATGACCCCCAGGCACAGGTACGGGTTAATGGAGTGCTCAGTCCTTCCTTTTCTTTGGGAAATGGCACGCGGCAGGGCTGCCCGTTGTCGCCTCTCCTGTTTGCCATTTCCCTAGAACCTTTCCTAGCCACGATAGCCCGTAACGTTAACATCAGAGGGGTGTAAGTGGGACCCAAAGAACATAAATATGCGGCGTACGCGGATGACATTCTATTCTATATTGGTAATCCCCGTATCTCCCTTCCGAACGTACTTTTAGAGCTGAAAGACTATAACAAGTTGTCCAACTTTAACATTAATCTTTCGAAATCCACTATTCTGAATCTGACTGTACCCCTTGCTGAGGCTAGAGCTTTACAATCTCACTTCCCTTTTACCTGGCAGTCACACAAACTGAGGTGTCTAGGAGTTAACTACGCGCCCCGACTGAAAGACTTATTCAGGTATAACTACATGCCTCTATTAAATGAAATCCGAGCAGACTTGAATCGCTGGTCCCCTCAATACCACTCCTGGATGGGCAGAATAAATGCCATTAAGATGAATGTGTTGCCGAGACTGCTCTTCCTCTTTCAAATGTTGCCCATGGGGGTCCCCACCACCTACTTTGCCCTTTTGCGATCACTGGTTTCTAGGTTTATATGGAAATGCAGTAGAGCCCGCATTTCATACAAAACGTTGACCAGACCTATATCTCTGGGCGGGGTTTCCTTACCAGATTTTCACAAGTATTACAAAGCTGCAGCACTTGCTAGACTCCTGGACTGGCATTATGCATCGGACACCAAACTGTGGGTGCAGATGGAATATGCCTTAAGCCGAGTGCCCTTACATAAAATTTGCTGGGTCCCGCAGCGGTACAGACCACTATCCGGAGACACTCACATTCTGACTACCACAACATTGTCCAATATATAATACAATTCCCCTCTGATGCCCTTATTAGGACATAGCTATTTCTCTCCGGCTCTTTTGGATGGGGGCTATCGCTCCTGGATCCAGAAGGGATCAGAACTGCTACTCCATCAGGTACTGCAAAGCGGGTGTATTAAGCCAATAACCTCCCTAACTCCAGCTATTAGCCCCTCAATCATGGACAAGTGGAGATACGTGCAACTATACCATTTTGTGAGGTCTCTCCCAGGCCCACTGAGATCCAGATCGGAATTGAATCCCATGGAGCAGCTCTTCCCAGCAGACTCCACTCCTGTCAAGTGTATTTCTTCTATTTACGCCACATTATCCCACATGGAAGCTTCTCAAATCCCACCCCATCTGACACATTGGGAAAGGGAACTGGACAGTCCACTTCCTGAGCAGACTAGATCCCGCATACTAGCTTTATCCTTGGGGCTCTCCAGATCCACACGTATCCAGAAGCTTAACTTCAAGTTAATAAGCAGATGGTATTACACACCTCAGAGACTGCACCAAATGGATGTCTCTATCACTCCCCAATGCTGGAGGGGTTGTGGGGAGGTAGCTACGCATGCCCACATCTGGTGGCAGTGTCCCAAAATAGCTTCATACTGGAGAGAGGTAACATCAGAGATTCTCGCGATCCAGGGATGCCCAGTACACTTCGACCCTTGGGTGGTGCTGTTCCATGGGGAGAGAGGTCATGTAGGTAGATATGCCCGTTCCATTACGCCACATCTCCTAAACGCGGCTAAGTCCTTAATCCCTGCTAAATGGAAATCGACATCTTCCCCGTCCTTACTGGAATGGCTCAATAAGGTAGAGCAGATTTACCGCATGGAAGAACTCACCTTAACCAAATTAGACAACAAAGAGCGCCTTTCCAAAACATGGGCCTGCTGGTTGGCATACAAAACGACTCCCTCCTATCTAAACAAGCGGGCCACAGCGGGCCCAAGTTTGCACTAAATCGGTACTAGCGGACAAATTATATTACGGTGTCATGTACTATATCCCTGAATACCAAAGACGTAGTGCTGGTGCGCAGAATGGAATCTACTGTCAGCTCATGAGTTATAAAGATCTCATACGTTAAACTTTGTACTCGGAATTGTCAATACTTGCTGGAATATGCACAAAATGTTCAATTGGATATGATCCTACCTTCCCCACTTGCTCCTTCCTTGTCATCTACCCAACCTCCCTCCCCCCCTCTCCCCTCACTCTTAATTTGGTC